CCTGAAGAAAAAATATTAGAAGACATACTGTGAAAATTTATTTGCTCTGTTAAACATCATTTATAAAACATTTGAAAAAGAAAAAAACAAAAAAAAAAACAAAGGGTGGCTAATATTTCTGACTTCAGCTGTAGAGCTATAGAGAAGTGCTAACTGGAACGCAAACTTGTTTAAGAGAGTCATCACCTGTATGTTCTTTACTTTACGATTCTGGATAAATTGAGAATTGGTTTGATTCTCTCGGTTAATGATTTTGAAAAGTTATATAAATTTAGATGTACTTTATACTTATATACTTAAGATATACTTTAAAATGAGCATAAATTGTTGATGCAGATAGCCTAGTGGGCAGTGAACCAAATTTATGGCACCACTGCAATTCAGACGTCCCAAGTTTGAGTCCCGGTATGTGGACCTTTCTATGTACCCATTATTACAGTATATCAGTAGGGCTGTGCGATTTGGGTAAAATATCTAATTGCGATTTATTTTTTTATTTATTTATTTTTTACAAATATTGTGATTTTGATTTGCAATTAAATTTTATAGTCAAGCTTCAGCTCAATATTCTGTATTGTAGCTTCTTACTGCTAAAATGCAGTGAGTGCACGAGCCTGTGGTGCTTTTAAAGTGCTCGTGCTGTGGCAACAATTCGCCAACAGCTCTTATAAATTACATGTTTTTGTTCAGTGTCTGTGAGTTTGAAACCTAAATATTCCCATATTTACGACATGCTTTTTTTCATTGATATAAATTCATCTAATAATGCTTCTAAAGCAGCAGACACTATCATACCACGTGTCCGCACTTTCCTGTTTGTTTGTTTGTTTTATTGTGAGCTTTTCACATAGTTCGGTTGCACTATTCTGATTAGGCAGAACAAAAGTGTGTTCTGCTCACTTAATTGGCTGGTAAGACTGTCAAACACAGACAGCAGTCATGCATTTTTGGCTCATGAAACATCAATAAACTATATGATACTATACAGCTATAAAATATCAGTTCTACTTTTTTTTCTTTGAAAAAGCCAAATTAGTTCACTGAAGTATTTATTTTTTTGTTTCAAAACTTGATTTATGCTTTAATGTGAGTAAAAATAATTGTGCCATTCTCACAGACTGTGCAAAACATTTGTGGTTTTCATTTTAATTTCTCTTAATTAAGAGCAAGTTTTTCTTTTGTGTTGACTTGTGTGATTCATTGGCAAACAAAAATATCAAGATATGAATTTTACTGATAGCTTTGTTTATTTATTTTTTAGACTTCTGTAGATATCGCTATTGTGAATCTCTTTGGCCACAGTTATTGGCTTGTGAAAAAACTAATATTATAACATTCCTTAGTGTTATATACAATATCCCTATAATGAATGTTTCAATGCTCTAATCATGAAGAATTCTGAATGAATCAGTGTTTTTGAAAAAACAAGTCAATGATTTTATTTGTCACCACTTGTGTAAGAATATAATCTTAATTTAAATGTAAGGTCACTTTCAAAATGTGGTTTGCTCCTATTTAATTGGCACTGTATTGTTATATTACTGTATAAGAGTACTGTTATCTCAGAGCATTTGTGATAATCTGGCTTTTTGTACCATAGAAATAATGATACTGTGTGATTGAAAAGACTAAAGACTAAAGCTGTTTTATAATACATGACATCTGCTCTCTCTGGGTCAGCAGCAGCGTGAACACAGATATGAATGTGATCATATTTGTTAAAGGTTTAATAGACACAGCTTCAACTGAATCATTTAGAAACAAGATTGTGTGGGTGTTTGAATCAAGATTGTGATCTTTTAAGAATTAATCGTGCAGCTTTTGACCTTTCCTTACCAACTGGAGAGACTTTAATAACACAATTGCAACCACTACATGTCAGTAAGAAGGATTTTCCCAGATATAGATCTTCAGTCAAGTCTTTTTGCCGGAAGCATTACAAGCACTACATGCAGGTCTTAAGAAGCACATTCAGTCAAGAGATGTACCGTTTTACAAGACGATACCTTGAAACAGCATAAACGCTCCTAAAATCTATTCAAAACACATTCACAGGTTGCACCTCAGTCACACAGTCATTATTCTATTAATTATGTAAATGTATATAGTAACATTACTTTAACTTACTCTGCACAAATTGTATTCAGCTATTTTTGATTTGCATATGTGCTCAGTTATGTGATTTGCATAATTCCCTTAGTGGTTCTAGCAGATATTCTTATTCAAATCTTTCTTTAACTTTTTTTCTTTTTGCAAATGCAGCATTTTGGTAGTGTGCAAGCATACAAATGCATTTAAATTGATTCAAGATTTTAGAGCTTTCCATTTCCTAAATTACCATGGAGGATATGCATCAACGCAGTGGCAGTTATCTCTGATTTTCTGGTAGGGAATCGGTCAGGGTAAATTTTTATAAAAACATTTAGCAAAGAATAAATTCACCAGTTGCCTCATTACAGAGCATTCAGGGTCATTCTTTAGATCACTTACATTGCCCTGGACTGTTTTTAGCTCACAGTGTAATACAATCTGTTTCTCCTCAACTAAAGTATAATAGGAAATCTAATCATGCCCTCATGTCAAAACAATAGGACTCTGAAAAAAATGAGATTATACCAGCCCCCACATATCACACATCACCTCTTCAGCTCCACGGAGCTTTGAACGAATGGAGAAACCTGCTCATCTAAATGCAAAGCCTGCTCGCAGGTGCTGTACGGCTGTTTGGGGGTGATTCAATTGTCATTGTTCAGGCTATCACAAAGCTAAAGCGTCCTCTGCTGTGACCTGTGTGGCCTTTGGTCATTTAGAGTGCTATATCTCAACTGGTTTTGCTTTAGGTTCCATAATGGACATCAAGTTATCAATTGACACAATACAAACATTTTCGCCCCAAGGGTCAGGGGTCAGGACACACTTAGTCTGTGGAATAATTAAAAGGGTTAAACACTATCTGCATCTGAAATTCAATGTCTCAACAGCTGTGTTTGTAAAATCTGGAAAATTGCACTACCACAAGTTTTCTGTGAGTATGTACACTACCGGCCAAAAGTTTGGGGTCAGATTTTTTTTTTCATGTTTTTTTTTCATTTCTTATTTTTTTTATCATTATTCTGCTCATCAAGGCGACATTTATTAAATTAAAAAAATGTTAAATTGTTAACTATTTATTATTTTTTTTTAATAAATGCTAATTGTATTTAGTTTCAAATGAAGTTATTACTCCTGTCATTATTGCTTTTATTGCTAAATAATAATAATAATAATAATAATAATAATAATAATAATAATAATAATAATAATTATTATTATTATTATTATTATTATTAGAATGGTTTTTGAGGCATCATGTGACTCTGAAGACTGGAGTAATGAAGCTGAAATTTCATCATTAAAATCATTGGAATAAATGAGTAAATTAAATTATAAAACACTTCTGAACAGTTATTTTATAGTTAATTAAGTTACAATAATATTTTACAATTTGTACTGTATTTTTCATTAAATAAATGCAGCCTTGGTGAGCAGGAGAAGCCTATATTAAAACCTTTAAAAATCCTCAAACTTTTTACCGGTAGTGTATGAATAAATAAATAAATATGCAAATGCACACACACAGTTGAAGCCCCCCTTTATATTTTTCCCCAATTCTCCAAATGTTTTTCATAATAACATAATGACACATAACAGTTTGTTCTGTTGACAATTTAAAAAAGAAATGCTTAAGGGGGCTAGAAATATTGATTGTATTTTTTAAATTAAAAACTGCTTTTATTATAGGTGTAAAAAACAAAAAATAAATAAGACTTTATCTGAAAGAAAAACATTCTTGTAAATATTGTGAAAAATGTTCTTGCTCTGTTAATCCTTTGAGAAATATTTGAAAAAGAAAACTAAATTTACAGGAGGGCTAAAAACTTTGACTTTTTATATAAAATAACAACAAATACCATGTTTTTTAGACTTGCTTGTATTCATTTAAGCAGCACAAACTGTTTTAAAACTGAGTTTCAAAAATCAGTATTTGGTGGAATAGAGCTGATTTTTAACCACAGCATATAAAAATGTGCTAGCCAGTTGTCATTTTCTAAAAACAAATGCTGTAAATTATTTAAAATTTGGAAACAACATTATCAGACCTTAAAGCAATGATGTGAATTTATCATTTATTCTCCTCCAGGGTCTTAAACCATTATGAGTTTTTTTTCTTCTGACACGAAAGAAGATATTTTGAAAAAGGCTGGTTGCTAGAACCCTTCGATTTCTACAGTAGAAAAACAAAAAATACTATGGAAGTCAATGTGTCCCAGCAACCAGCATTCTTTAAAACAATATATTTTGTGTTCAGCAGAAGAAAGAAACTCTAAGGTTTTGAACAAGTATACTGTACGGTGGGTAAATGATGACAGAATTTTTGTTTTTGGGTGAACCATCTCTTTAAAAGAATCAAACAAACATTTTACTTAAACCCAATATTTCTCAACTATGTTCCTGGAGGCCCACCATCATTGCGCATTTTGGATGTCTTCTTTGTCTGTCACATCTACTACAGGTCTTTGAGTCTCTGCTAATGAGCTGATGATGTGAATCAGGTGTGGTTGGTTGTGGAAATGGAAAATGTGCAAAGCTGGTGGTCCTTCTGGAATGTGGTTGAGAAACACTGCAGTAACCCATACTTAATGAAAAAATCATAAAACAATTCAAATGGTCTCTTAATTTTTTCTCTTTAATTTTCCTCCCATATTTTCCTACTTTATAAGCCTAATTTTAAATAAGGCTGTCAAGTTAACATTAAATGATTGTGCATGTTAATTAAACAAAAAATAACAAGGTAAAGTGAAAGCCATTAATCACTCACTGACAAGCCTCGCTTATTTGCATTTTGCATTGTTTTCTGCACTTTGACTCTTTGAGAAGGTTGAGAATTGGTGGTGTAGAGTGTGTATTGTAGTGTAACTATGTATGTGTTTTGCTGGTCTGAAGTGTGCGTCTCATTTCAGGAAACAGGATGGAGGAGAGCCCTGCATCTCTAACACACTAGATCCATCACTCTTCCAGCCTTCTCTGCCCCACAGCGGCCCTGCGTTCCTCAAGGTACCACAAACCCCCTGCCCTCCAGCATGCTGAGCATCTTCCCGTCCTGCCAAAGCTTGACTTCTGCTTGCTGAGTCTCTCACCTCTGCTGACCCTCCTGCTCCAAATACTGTGAGCCCTGTGTTGAGCTAAAGCTGAAGCTGATCTGCATAAGGCCAGCGTTTGGTATTAATACACATGATTGACATGCCATGCAGCAAAATGAGAGTGATGTAATTAAAAGCCAGATGCTGTTAATGAGCAAATGTCAGGCCGGTTTCTCAGTCACACCCCTTATTCAGTAAGACAAATGCCTGTCAAAATAGCATTGATTAGGAATGGCCATTTAACCACTGACAGCTTGTCAATGAGTTATAACTCCAGGGATTCAGCTTTCAGAACTAAAACTGCTTTTGTGATGTTTAAAGGGACAGTTTAATACTGGAATTACAGAGATGGGCATTTTGGCATTTTTTAAATGTTGTCATTTAAAGGTTCAAGACACCATAAAGTACTTTTTTTATTTTAACAGATTTGTGTGTGTGTTGAGCATCAGGTAAGACAACGTAAGGACCTGTCAGCTTTAATTGTGCGGAAAACTGGATCATTTAGATTTTTTTGTTAGATAATTACATTACATTACATTACAATAATTTTAAGGGCGGGCTTAAAATCGGTGATGTAGTTCGAATCTGCTAGTGGAGTGATGATGCGTCAGCTTCTTCTTATTATTCATAGTTGAGTTTTCTTACCCTATGATAAGATTCTGCTTCTTAATTATTTATGAGATCACGTGCCAGACCTGCCAAGCTGTAAGACTCAATGAACGCATCCGCGCACATCAAGCGGTATTTAGCTGTCATAAAGGGTCATATGTGTTTGTTTCTATGATTCACAGGGCTTGTTGAATGTTTTTCCCATGCCATACTGTAAAGGCCAATACAGCAAAGCTGTTGCAGCAAGCATTTTTTTCGGGAGAGCTGTAAGAGAATTGGAGAATGGTGAACTTTGTCTTTTATCAGTTGAGTTTGTTACTATTCAGACACATCGACTTATCCGTGCTGTTGTGTTCGCCATATATTTAAAATCTCCAGATTACTGTCAGAGTTAATGGTTGAAATAGACAGGGAAAGAGACCTGCTGCACTGCTATCCACTGTGTCTGCATTCAGACCCGGGCTTTGAGGAGGAGAGAAGTCCTCCTCATTTATAGTGTTTATATACAGTAATTATCTTTATAATGATATAACAAATTGTGGCTATGTGTATTTGAAATTATGAATAACAAATGTAGCAGGACCTTAAAATTACTGTTTATTTCTTTGCATTTTAACTTTGTAAACTATAAAATCATGGGCCTCCTCACGGTTTGTGTCTTATTTTGTGAACCAACTGACAACAGTTGTTCGCTCCCCTCTTTCTCCCCTGCTCTGCTGGCCATGGCCATTCTTCCCTCTGCTCACAGAGCTCCACACCCATTATGAAGCACTTTTTAAAAAAACTCTGAGGTAGACAAAAGAGTGGGGTTTCATGGCCTTTTATTAACTTTGTTAAAATAAAAACCACATAACTAATACGCTAAACTTTCCTAAATGTTATGTGCATATTTATTTCTAACAATGTTATTTTATTAAAATTTCAAAACACAAAAGTTTTTAGTTTTTCTAACTTTAAATATCATAGCAAATCAAATTAATTGCATGTATTTCAGAGTTTATTATTTAATCCCTTGCCTTTTAATATGCATGGCTCTGTTGCCTAGCAATTTTCTGCTAACAAAAACATAACTTTCTGATTAGGACTGCAGGATATTGGAAAAATCTGACTATGTGACATTTTGTTTTCTCCAATATATAATGCGATATGAATACAATTTCACCAGATGGCTTGTTTAGCCCAATTTGGAAAGAATTCTTGAATTTAGATTTATTGGTGTGATCTTGTGATGGTGTGAATCATGTATAAATATAATAAACTAATTGCAAGCAAGTATAATTACAATTGAGCAACTCAAAAAGTAAATGAAATGGTTTCCAATGAGTCAAACAGTATTCATGTACAGTAATTGAATAATGTAATGTAAAATAACATTGTATAAAATTCAATGTAGTAATGCAGTAAAACCATTCTTCATTAAAGTCACAAATGTTGTTCATTTTTGTGCCTGAATGCTGTAAACTCTTTTGAAATGCCTTTAAAACACATGCAAATTATAAAGATTCACTCTGTTATGGTTATACTTTGCAACGACTCCACAAATCTGATGTATTCTCAATTGTTGGTCAACTATAAACCCTTCTCAACAGTGCAGATTCTGTGATGTGACTATTGTGGATACTCACAGTGCAATATCGAATATACAGTAGATTTCTATGAATCCATGGTCATCATAAACACATGATCTTTTCAGAATTTCAGATTTCAGAAGACATATGGTCTAGGTGAACTAAATTGGCCATTGTGTATGAGTGTTTGTTTGTGATTAAGTGTGTATGGGTGTTTCCAAGTACTGGGTTGCAGCTGGAAGGCCATCCACTGCGTGAAACATATGCCAGAATAGTTGGCGGCTTATTCCGCTGTGGCGACCCCCTGATAAATAAGGGACTAAGCTGAAGGAAAATGAATGAGTGAATAAATTAATGAGAGAGCCTATTTTGGAGAACCTTTAAAGGTAATTTATTCAGTATGAATTTTTTATTAATTTTTTTTTTAAAGCTTATTTATTAGACTTTTAAATAATGCATACATCTCAATTTCCAAAAATGTAGACTTACAATATGACTGGGTTTCTGGTCTGGGTTTACATATATAAGAAGTGTGAGTATGAAAAATGATGATATATTTTTGCTTTAGTTTTTGTGCACTGACTCATGCACTAAAATGAATATCAAGCCAGAGGTTTCTCTCTCACCAATAGTCCTAGTAGTGACTCAACATGTTGATTCTGGCAAGTGTGAGCCCAACTATGTTGGCGTATTGAACACGCTGGCAAAAGTAGTTTAAGAGATGCTCACAGATTGCTGTTGATTTGGTGCTGTTGATTATAGTAGCTTTTACCAACACAGCCTCATTGAGTATATGTGCCTCAGAGTGCACTCAGACTCTGGGTACATTTCATTGCACATTTCAGATGACAAATTCATTAGATTTGTACTGTATGTATTATATATATATATATATATATATATATATATATATATATATATATATATATATATATATATGTATATATATGTGTGTATATATATGTGTATATATATGTATGTATATATGTATATATATATATATATATATATATATATATATATATATTAAGGGTGGAGCCGAACCCGAATACGGTATTCGGAAAGGCACGAATAGCGTGTTTTTACGAATACTTATTTCGAACAAATACTTGAAAAATTATTTGTATTTGGGAGCAAGAAAAGCATTATATCAAAAAGCAGCGTTTCCTCCTGAGACCACAGTGCATGAGTGAGAGAGAGAGCGAGAGAGAGAGAGAGTGAGCGAGAGAGACGCTCAGTCGGAGGGCGGGGCGGAGGTAAAAGATCTCTGGCTCAAGCTTCTCCACAGCAGCAGACAGAGAAGGCTCGGCTGAGCGAAAAAAATACTTCTCTGCATCACTATTTTTGTTAAATAGATTTTTGTACCTTAATTGGGTTCCAGATGCAGTTTATAAACTTGTAGCGAAGTTTGTTCGGGATTTTCCATTACGCTGCATTTTTGAAGTTTGCAATCGGGTGCTCTGTTAGCGCTGTTAGCTCGTTAGCTCTGTTAGCGCGGTAATTTAGAGAATAGACTGTTGACAGAGTAACGTTAATGTTTGTTTATAAAGGTTAAAGCGATGCTTTTGCAGTTGTGTCGAATAGTATGCACTTATGGGAGTTATATGGTACGTCTAAATTACTGTCTTTTGCAGACAGCAAGATATATGCTATAGGCTAGTTAACCTTAGCATAGCTTCCCCTCACTTTTTATTAACTTGAAACTCCTCAAATACATTTGGGCACCATGAAAAAGAGTGAGACTGCTGCTGAGCCATTTCTTGGTCCTTCATCAGTAAAAAAAAATAAAAATTCATGTTCTTTGTGGAAGCATTTTACAGTCAGTGGTGCTGCAGATAAAACAAAGTGATACTGTATAATGTGTGCAAAAGTGAAATCAGCAGAGGCAGAGATATTAAACATCTGTCAACATCTATGCATAATCATTTATTTTCTTTTCGGCTTAGTCCCTTTATCAATCTGGGGTTGCCACGGTGGAATGAACCACCAATTTATCCAGCATATGTTTTACGCAGTGGCTGCCCTTCCAGCTGCTACCCAGCACTGGGAAACATCCATACACTCTCTTTCACACACATACAATAGGGACAATTTAGCTTACCCAATTCACCTGTATTGCATGTGTTTGGACTGTGGGGGAAACCTGAGCACCCGGAGGAAACCCACGCCAACATGGGGAGAACCCAGTCGAGGCTCGAACCAGCAACCTTCTTGCTGTGAGGCGACAGTGCTACTCACTGTGCCACCGCGCAACCTTCTATGTAATGTATTATCACATGCACTAAAAGCATCCTCTCCTGATACTGTCTGTGAACCCCCCACAAGGATCAATCCCCTCAATCAGCACAGCTATGTTCTGCTAAATCCTCCACTAGCACAAAACCATCAACACAGCCACATTCTGCCCCAGCAAGTAAGTTTCAAACATAAAAAAGTAAAAAAACAAAAAACTTTGTGTCTGTTTTGTGGCAGGCAGATGATAATAGCAGGGCTGTATCTTTTAGTATTATATAGAATACTTTTGTTCTGCCAGATCTCCCAGGCAGGGTTTTATTTAGATTTATTTAGTTAATTTTAGTTTTTGGAATTCTGTGCATTGGAAAGAAGTTCTTTCAGAAGAAGAACAGTTTTTTGAAATATTATTTGTTTTTATTCTGTCTATTCAGTGTCCTTCAACAAGAACGGTGGTGGTGGGGTTTATAATATTCACAATGGTATTTTATTAGTTGTTGGTTTA